ATCTTGTGGGAAACTGTATATAATAGAGGAGCCAGTAATGGCTCTTTCTACTCTTGGAAAGTGACACAATCCAGAGTTACTGGAACTCTTATTTTCTTTTTTCCCCTCTTTTTTTTTTTTTTCTTTATGTTCCCTGTTAAAAGCAAGAAACTGAGCCACATATTTTTAATAATGAGAATCTGGATGAGGTTCAATCTAAATTTTGACAATATATTCCAATTAAAGACTTTAATAGATTCTTGGCTTTCCCCACATCTCATTGCCATGTGCATTCAATAATCCCAAGCCCCCTTTTTCCCTAGTAATAAGTAGACTGCAGAGTGCGTGACATCATTCTCCAGAAGGTCAGCCTCCCCTGGACTGCCGTTTTCTGAGCATTTCTTGCAAAGTGTTTGTTGGGGAGGGGGGTTGGAATTTTTGTTTTTTCAAACTGGCTGCAGCTCTGCTGTGATTTTATCAAATACGGTGCTTGCTCTTATAAAGCTACGATGACTTTTGGATTGTGTGCTCCAGAAGAGAGGTTTTGTAGTCAGGCCAGAGGGTTTCACTGATAGAAATGGCATGTGCTTCTCCTTGGTAGGACAATACGATGGCCACTCAGGTCACAGACCTGCAGAGACTTACTAATGCACTTTACTTCAACAGCAACATGGGCAAATAAAGCTCATGGACCACCAGTGTCAGCCGCACCAGGCATCTGTGTGACTGGTCGTGATATCCAGCTCTCCACGTTGTGTGGCAGCTGAAACCTGTCATTGTGTAGATTAGAAAGTTATTTAATCCCTGTATGAAACAGCTGCATCCAGCGTGCCAAGTGTTGATTCGGTGCATCACCGTGGCCCTTGCTCAACATACAGCTTGGGCCAAACGAATGAGCAAAGCACTAGGATGCGTGTTGAATGGGAGAAAGGATAATGTGGAAAAAATTATAATACCTTTAGATAATTGTATCATGTGGATGCATCTGGAATACTCTGTGCAGACTTGTTTTTAAAGAAACGATTAAGGATCTGGAAAACTTCCCACTTTAAGAGAAAATAAATGACTGGCAGTATTCACTGTAAGAAGCACAGAAGGAGGACATGAAAACCTGTAAAATAACTAATTGTATGAAGAAGGTGGATGAGGGGGAACTTCTGTTCTCCTTATCTCGTAACATGCCACAAAAAGGGATGAACATTCAGCAGAAGTAGAAAAATCAGAGCCACCATAATGAAGCATGTTTCACACAGTTGTGTCATAAAAACATGGAAATCGCTGTCACAAGAGTCTATCAAGGATGAGTAACATGAAGCTACCATGTATTCTTTTCTCTGCTAAATACTATAGGCCATAAAGATTCAGTACTTGATCTTCTTTTTGATTAACCTGCAAACTGAGCTTTCACTCTCAGGCATCTTCTCCAGCTAAATTATTCTGCTTTTTTTGCTGAATCCTCTTCAATCTCTTTCCACTCTTTAAAAATATTTACAGTTGAAGATTATATTGTAATGTCCATTTCCAGATAGGAAATTGTCTCCCCACTGCTTAGCACTATTTTTTTCTACACCAAAGATTGCACATCCCCTTTTATCACAGGAATACATACACTGTCCCTTGCCTGTGCAGTGGCTTATCCACTGAGACTTCCAAATTTTTGTGATGTCAACACTTTTCAGCACACTTGGTGAGTATGCACGTCCTACATTTTGTTTCTAGACACATGATACTGTATCTGGCTGAACTAAAAGCCACGCTTTGTTTGAATGCAGCTGACCGAGCAATCTCTATTGCTCTTCATACGTTTGTCTCCATCATTACAGACCACTTTGCAGTCTTTATGGGATTTGTACCTTTTAGCAACTGGACTGTTCCATTTAGTTCTGAACAAGTTAGTACTGGAACCAGTCTCTGCAGAGCAACACTGAGACTGTCCTCACTGGATGGTGTTTTCACATCAGTTTTGAGATCAGTCAGCTACTCATTTCTTAATACATGCTAATGCTAACTTTTCAAACCTGGCACGTATGGCAATAAGTTAAATGCTCTCCAAAAATGCATCACAGCTATACAGTTATTTCTATCAGTCAAATCTCTAACCTAAACAAATAATTCAGTTGGATTTTTTTCACAGAGCTGTTTTGGAAAAGGCAGATAACACTTATTTAATGGAAAAATCACTAAGTGACAAAAGAAAAGCTAAGAATCCATAGTAATCCTTAGCACATGAAAATCCAACTGGAAAGCAGCAAAGGCACCATATTTATACTGCTGGAGTCCCAAGCATCTGCCCCAGAATGCACCATTTTTCCTACCACAGTAAGGGGGACTCACCCCTCAAAAATCAGGGCTGAATTCCACAGTTCCTACGGCAGATCTGTTCCATCACTTTGCTAGATTTCATATAACTGGAGCCTATTACTTTTGTCCTATCCACCACAGACAGCATCCTATTTCAGTACTATTACGTCCTCCCTCCCCTCCAGGCTGAACAACCATAACTCACTCTTCATCGGTGAGGTTTCTCCTAGGCATGTGTCCATTTTTGCTGCTCTCACCTTGTCTCTGCAGTAAGTGTGCCCTCCTTTTAAGCTGCAGTAGGTACATCTAGGCTTCATGCAGAGCCACAGCAGAGATGAGAAGTCAGGAAGGATAGTTCACACATCCCAAAATTCTCCCCTAGCCCCAGAGCAGTTTCCCAGAGCCAGCCATGTAGCACTCCTTCCTGGTGCCAGCTGTTCAGCTCCCCAGGAGCTGATTTGCTTCTCATCCATAGCCATAATTAAAAATATCCATTTTGGTGTCAATCCCCCAAAAATTCATCCTAAACCAAATGCAGCCTATGCAAAACTAACAATTCAAGGGATAAAACAGGGGCTTGCAATTCCTTGAGTGTTTATTTGGAAATACCACATATTCGCCCAGCTTTGGAGACAACAGTATGATCTAGAATTAAAGTGTCTGTTTATTAAAATAATACCCTGAAAACATCTAATTCATAAATATGGAAGGGTATGAGATAGCAGCATGCAGCTCAAAGCACTGAAGCTTCAAGTGGGAGAGAGGAGTAGAGTCCCAAACAAGTCCTTTACGTGAAAAGACTGGCTAAGGCTCAAAGGATCTGAGGTGCAATAGCTTATGCTGAAGTCAGCTGTTAAATACCAGTGATTTACTCACCTGTCACACAGTTCATGTGCTTGAAAGCAAGGAGATGAAGAGGTATGGACACTGTACATCCTGGTCATCTTAGGTTTGGAGGGAAGAATCACATGTGGCTTAAAGCCACCTCAGTATTTCTTGCTCTTTCTGCCAGCAATTCCAAGACCTCCAGACTATATATTTGTGCTGGCCCTTGGGGGCTGTCCCAGCAGCCAGAAATTAAACCAGAGTGTGTTTGTACCTTGGCTTTGCACCTATCGCTGAGACCAGGGGTCAGCTTGTTACAGCAAGCACTAGAAAGATGAGCACTATGATGGAGAGAATGTTTCCGATATTATCTTGAGGTTGTTTTGCATAGCTAAATGCAGAGCTCAAAAGCACTGTTTTGTAGTGAGTTATTAAGTTTTGAGATTGACCTGTGGGCACAACTTTAGTTAAGGGCTGCCCTAAACCTAGTGGTCTGTGTGGTGGTGGTCTGTACAGAGCCGTCTGGTCACAGGGTACTGGCTTGCTTCCTGGTTTTTCAGCTGCCAAACTATATTAAAACAAGCTAAAAATACATTAAATATTTTCCTTTCCTAATATTACCTTACCACGTAAGCAATAGCTGGACTTGCCACTAGGATGTTATCTGATAACCAAGGGGAGGGGAAGGGAGGTGTGCAAGCCCAAATAGGGGGGTGAGACAGAGGAGGGAGGCTGCTTCAGCGACCGTGACCAGGAGGAGAGGCTGTTATGTTTCTATTTAGGTGGGTGATGAAAACGTTTCTGAATCCCTGCTTTAACCCATCTCTGACCGCACACGTCACTAAAAGTGCTCCTTGACACAAGCCCCTGAGCTTGTGCAAAACCTCTCCTGCCCTGTGGTGGGCAGCCCTGGCAGCCACTGCTGCTGCCCTCCCTCTGCAGGAGACCACGTCATCCCCAGATGGATTTGAGGTCTAGAGGGAAGTTTTGGGGTGATGTCAAGCTCAAATGTGAGGGGCTGGAGAACTTGCTACACAGGGCATGCACTTGGTTTTGATTGCTTAACCTCACAGGTTTCACATTTGAACACAGCTTTGGATTGTTTCTTTTCTTGCATTTATATTGGAATAAAAAAAGTACCAGGTTGCCCTCATACCTCTCTTCCCAGTAATCACTGTGTGTTTAACTAGAAATAGCTGCAATGAAGTGAATGGGGAAGTCCTATTAGTGCAAAAAAAATAAATAGTAACACAGCCTGAAATTGGAGATGAAAGGCCTACTTAACAAATGAGAGATGTAAAGGGCAGAAGCTATGAAAAGACACAGCATGAACAAGCGGAAAACACTTGGCCTGCCCAGTAATTCCTCCCAGACTTGTACTGACAGAAAGTCTCTCCGGCAAGGCCACCGGGTTTTGAAAGCAAGGCAGTGTGATCCTGGGAGGAGGCACATTTCTGGTCTCCTAAAGCTTGCAGAGGGCATACACCCCTTCCCCTTGTGTTTCCACACAAATGGCAAACGCAAACTGTAAGTGGAGAACGTGTCTGACATGCTAGAGCATTTCCTTGGTCTTTATGCTTTCTTCACACTCATCTCATGCCATGTACTTGGGCTAGATCTCCCAACCCTGCGCTCCTTCCTGCTCCTCCTCCTAGCTTTTACGTGCACTAGGGACATCAGGGAGATGAAGTGGCTACACTGCACCTCAGAAGGTACAGCTTGTCCACCATTTCCATCCATCCTGTCTGCTTGGTGTCCTTTCACAGCAGTCAAGAGCTCAGTGCGGTGCATGAACTCCCCCCAGCCACCAGACAGACACACAGCAGTGTGCATTGCTGCTCTTAGACCCTCTTCTGCTCTTTCTACGTTTCTTTGCATGCCCTCAGTACACTCACCTTGCTGCTTCTGCATGGTAGTGAAGTCTTCGAAGGTGAGAGTGCGCACGGGGGGCCTCCAGAAGGCATAGGTCTCCATAATGGCCTCCAGCCCCGTCCTGTGCAAAGAAAATAAAACAAGGAGAGAAGAATGTCAGTCAGCTGGCAAGGGTATCGGCGCCGGGGAAAGAGGGCGCTGACCTCACTTGACAGGCTGCCAGCGGCCACCAAAAGGTCACCCTGGCATCTGTGAATTCCTCAAGCAAGCCTTCCCGCACAGGTGCTGGCCACTAGAGTAAAATGAAATTTCCCCAGCCCAGGATTTCAAAAACTCCTAACAGTCTCCTAGGGCCTTTTTCTTTCTATAACAAGCATCCCAAACTTTCTGTCTGCTTCACAGGGAACACATGACCATCAGCTCCTCCAGACATGCTTTATCGTAGAGCTGGCTTCTACACTGTGGATGCAAGCTGTCATGTAAACGAGAGAGGTCTGGGATTCAGCCTACAGAAACAGAGAAATTTTGTGAATTGCCTTTCCATGCCACCTCCCAGTTCTGGACACTGTCCTAAAGTGCTACAGGAAGCCATTAAAAAAGGAATCTCCTTGGTTTTGGACTTCAACTAGAAATGTGTAAGAGGCTTTTTATGAAAAGGTCAGCGGCCTCTCTGCTTTGAGTCCCTAATTCACTGCAAAGACAGCACCAAAGAGAAAGGCCAAACATCAGGTGAGAACAGCTTTTCCTCTTGAAGGGCTGGGGTCTCAGATTTGTTTCTATTTTTGCTACAGAATGCTAGCTCTGCTGACAGTCTCTAATTCCACAGGCTCAGTAAGGACATAGGTGCATAATCAGGAAATGACCCTCGTGTTCTTTAGAAGATAATCCCCTGGAGTTCTTTGCAGGAAAGCTTCTCTTCTGTGGAAGCTGCATTTTGCTCTGTTCCCCGTTCCTCGCCTTCCCCTGCCTCTTCTCCAGCAGTAGGTTACAGCCCTTGCACTGACCGAACATGACTAGAGATGCTTCATCAAATGCGAGAACATATCCCCTTTCAATGCAAAAGGCTCTAACATCCCCAGAGCCTCTCATCAGATGTTGAGCTGATACTGGAGCTGCCTTTTGCTTCTGAAAATGTCGTTCTGCACGTGCCTCCACTCACTCAGTTAACTTTCCAAAGTCTCCCCGGAAGCTCAGATGCTTTAAATACATTGGAGTTGGCAAACCAAACTCTGTATTTTAAGAGGAGGTTTAGAAGAGAGGTTGTTGCATGGTGTTTATTAGCTGCTAAGCTGTTAGAAGTAGATACAGAAGACATCTCTGCATAGCAGTCTCACACTAACACTGAGCACATTACAACAAAACTATTTGGTTAATACAGTGGCCTCTGCCAGCTCATGGAGCTCAGAGACAACAAGGCAGTGCAGAATGTGAACCCATCTGCTAAGCTGGACTCTGTGTGCAAAAGCAGCTCTTTGACAAATGGTACCACCCCCAGGATTCCCTCCACTCCCTCTGTGAGAAAGCCACACATGTTCAGACTCCCTCTGCTTCTCGACACACACAGTTGGGAAGAGAATGGTACCTTTCTGCACCTTCATGAAGTGATCCCCAGCCCAAACACTGAAGGAGGACTTTCTGGTACCATATATCCAAGGGGCATAAAATGCCCTGAGCAGGTTGCAATGCAACAAGACCTGCTGTAGAAAGGACCTGCCTTGATGATTAAAACCGAGTAATACATCCAGAAATGCAGACTGAAAGTTCCAGCTGTGCTAATCCAGCTGCTCCCCGTCTGCCGCAATCATTGTGCAGGGAAGTAGGGAGGCCAGCTCACTAAAACTGGTGTTCACACGGCCTGGCTCAGTCATTAGATCCCCACGCACATAACCCCACTCTGCACCAGCATTTGACTTCTAGCTCTGCTCTCATGACTCCCTTCCAGTAAAACCCAACCGCTAACAGGAGGTGGCTCAGGGAAAAGGCAGGTTAAAGCTATTAGCCCTGCCTCTGCATCTTTCTCAGCTCGGCTTGACTCACAGTTCAGTTTCTAGCTCTCTGTCTACCACTTTCCCCTGTATCAATGCAGTTCTCACAAGTACCATATAATTTGTACATCTAAAAGAAAAGGAAGAAAGAGAATAGTCAGGAGATAATAAAAAGAAGACATAAAAGAGTAAAACAGGAATAATATACTGCTTTCAGGGGCTGGACTCCAATGTGCCTGTGAGCTCACAGAGGGTAAATGGCAGCACTGAGGGTACCAGAGCAGCTTGCAAAGATGCTCTATTCCTGCCTCAAATACCAAGGAAAGAAGGGATGTCACCAGAGACCCACCACTAGAGCTGGGCTAGAACAGCCCCTTTGTTGTGGACATGGGTCCTGTCACCCTCCCCTTTCCACACTGCAGCTGCTGGCAGCAACACTGTGGCTTCACTGGATCACAGATTGCCGTGTAATGCTCTGAGCAGCACTGCAGCCACAGATACCTGAAGAATGGATGTCAAACTCCACAGTTGGTTTAAAGCCACTTCTTTCACCTCTTTTGTCTTCCCACCCCAAATAAGAGTCCTTTACTCCCCTAGAGGTGTGCACTTGTTGAACATGCATTATAAAACCCCCTCCCTAAGTATGTGGGTGACAGACCTCAAAGTTATGTCTAGTTCCCCTATACACAAATTTAGGTCCCTGTATACTAGATCATGCTTCTTTTCCAGGTTTGGTTTTTCTTTTTTTTATCTTTGTGCAGAACAAATGTTGTGGGTGTTTTTGAAATAACATCTAAGCAGAACACATCCTTACTGAACTTTCAGATTCTCCCATGCATCAGACAAGATCCATGAGACAGCAGCCTCTTGTGCAAACCTGCTAGGCACCTACCACACCAGGTATGCGGTATTGCAGAAGAACAACGTGCAGCCATGCAAAAACAGCTTGGGTCAGGATGCACACCATCTTTGTGTGACTGATTTACAACTCTGTCCCTAACCTTTCAATGTATTTTTTTTCTTCTTCCTGTGATTTTTTTTTTTTTTTGGGGGGGGGGGGGAAGTGAGGTGAAGGGCTGGGAATCAAGAAACACCATCGCTGTCATTGCTGTCAACTCTAACAGTTCTCTCTCCCATAGCAGTTTATGACATTAGTGTGGTACCAGACCTCCACCACAGCACAGAAAGATAAAGCTCTCCTAGTCAGCAGAAATATTGAAGTGCTATTCTGTGTGTGTTCCCACCCCTACAGGGAAAACAAACCCCACCTGTTCAATGAATACTGGGACAGCAGTAAATGCTGACAGAAAAAGAATTGTTTTCAGCATTTCTGAAATCTCAGCAACTTCTTTTGGGCTTTGGTGAGGGCTGCTGGTACCAAGTGCGCTGAACATTATCCATGTGGCATCCACTTTCTCTTCCAAAGAAAGGCACTGAAAAATTGACTTCAAACTGTCTGTCAGGCCATAAACCCTCCCCTCTCACACCATCTTTATGAAGGAAGTAAAAAAAAAAAAAAAAGTATCAGAAGAGGACTCACTGCCAGCTTTATTTTAATAAGGTCAGTCCTTTAAAAGGTATCCAAAATTCGCTCTCTCTTTTTCATTCATTTTTTTATTTTTAGTGCTATAAAGTTTTAATAATAGGCAATAAATGAAACAGTTCCATTGTCTGAAAAATGAAAAAAGATGTACAAGCTATCTGTGCACCTCCATAATCCATCCCATATGGCCGACCTTCTGCTGCACACAGGATTCAGGTCATCATTTCATTGTTCACTGGGGAAGCCAAACGATTGGCTCCAAGCGCCCTCCTGGCTCTCTTACCCTAGACAAAAGCTCAAAGAGCATTTCCAACACAAACAACTTCTATCCACCTCAGCTGCCCACATCTGAAAGGAAAGCACTGTTGCTTGCCTTCAGCTTAGGGTTTTTTTTCTTCCCTCACTCTGCTGGGTTTCCTGACTGTTGTCCCTTCTGGCTTCCTCCTGGATAAGGAGCTCCCCCAAGCATCCCACTGTCAAATGAACTTTACTCAGTCTCCAAAATTAGGCTCTGTGGCATTAAACCTGCACCCTCACTACCCAGACATCTGGCTAGCTGAGCTCTATATGTCAAAAACTCTGGTTCTCAATGTCTTGAAGTTCAGAAAAGCAACCAGGTAATACCTGCCTCATACGTACATTATGTAGGTATACTTTCACCACCAGGACCAGTTATCTTGTTTCGCTTTTACAGATGCTTCACGTGCTTTTGCAGACAAAGCAAAGAGAGACCAAAAATCATGTAGCGGGAATCTCTAATAAGAGGGAGCTAAGACTCGGCCTTCTAACAGAGGCTAGTTCCCTAACTCATCAAGGCTGATGGCCAGATTTTTGAACACCACTAGTTAACATGGTTTGAGTGCTCCAAGACTGCAAAACAGCGTTCAGCTGCTGAGCTGTTTGCATCCTTCCCTCTGAGATACCTCACTGCTCCTTCTCCCAGCACAAGGACTGAGGCACTCAGCTGTGAAGGGAGACAACCATGCAAGCAACTGAAGGAGATCCAAGAAGGGATCTGTGAAAAGATCCCTCCCCAGATGGATACAGGCAGTTACATCATGATGGGGTGTCCCCAGGGCAGCAGGATTTTAGCAGTCTCTCACATTAATGAAGGCAGAACATACTGATAAGGAAACATATGGGAAGGTTGTGAGCTGACAGAAGTGAAAGATTTTAAAGGGGAACTAGTTTTAAAAACAGTCAATGCCATAATTTCTGCAGCAGGCAACAACAGTGAAACAATATCAAAATAAGAAATAAGTGCAGGAAAAAATCCATTTCATGGAAAAGCCTCAACACAAAGCAGAAAGTAAATGTCCTACGGAAGAAGTGGACTAAGAGTTCCTCTTCTCCCACCATGCTCTGGGGATTTTTTTCTAGTTTTGGGTTTTTTTCCTCCATCATTTGCTGGCAAACTCTAACCATGGCTCTGATTTAGTATCCCGATGTCACTGGGATACGATGCACCGAGGCAGTCTCAGACATTCTATTGGCCCCTGCTGCTGCCACACTTTTTTTTTTTTTCTTTGAAGCCTTATATAGAAAACCTCTTGGACATATACTGCGCTTGCCTGCTTCACAAATGAACCGTTTTTCAAATTACCCTGTTTCTTTTTCAAAGGAGGTCTACATTTTCAGTGGGACGTTGTTCTCCAGCTACAGCCTGATGCACTGTAGCTGACCAAAGTTGTTGTGGGGATGTGGGAGGCTCCAGAGCATCGCAATCATCACTCCAATTGACCAGTGATCCTGATAAGATTAGAAGGTCACGAGGGGGAGAGGAGCCATCCAGCACAGTTAAGTCCCATTTGGAGAGTCCTTTCCACACACAGCTCGGACCTTAATGCTTTTCTCCCTCTTATGTGTACATCTAGGTACGTGTCCTCTTTAAAGGGAGCAGCTGAGCATTAAGAGTGTCCTCCACTAGTTGACAACAGCGGTGCAACCTTAGCCAGACCACTGCTTGTGCGGCAGGCGCCTGACTGCTATATGTGCTTGCAAATACCTTTGCCTGTTTTTTCTTCCTAAAGCCTCAGGCTGCTCTCTTTGATGTGTAATACCTTAAAGATTTTAATTCCTCTTTACATCAGCAGAGAGCCTTACTGAGCCCTCCCCACAGCTGCAGCCGTGTAGCAATTTCCTGCCCTTTCTTAAATCAATGAGCTACAAAGATCAGTAATTCCCAACCTTTTCAGGAAACTGTCCAAATTCACTGGGCTAGGACCTTATTAATGCCTTCCACGTTAATCTAGCCCACCATGTACCTGGAACTGCATCAATCTCTATTCTAAGCCCAGCCTCCAGTGCAGCTGTATCTCTGCACACAGGGAAGACCTTGTACAGCGAGCACATACTACTTCCCCCACACGGGAGAGGAAAGCAGAGGAAAAGTCATGTATGCCTCAAGTACCAGAGCTAATGCTCACAGCGGGAATTAATTAAGGGTGGTAACATCTTTTCACAGGGCTACATTAAGATGAGAACAGAGGAGCTGAGCTAGGAAACCACTAGGGTCAGTAAGATGTCTTCTTTGCGATCATGGAGAGTGTAGCATTTACACGGGTGGCGGGCAACACAGGGCAGTTGCTTATTCACTGAATGCTTCCCGTACCAAACCACGAATGAGGTAGCGGTCCTGGTGAACACACACAAGAGGAGCATGCAAGTAAAAACTGAATTACAGCGCCCATGGGGACAGCAAATGAAGGCTATGCACATGACTTTCACTCTGGTCTGCACACTCAGAGCTTTGCTTTACAACTGGAGGGTTCTTGTACCTTGGTCATACATGTCTAATTTTATAATTAATTTAATGGTGAAAGCCTTTGTCATGCTGATTTAAAGGATACCCACATCATTTAGATCTGAAGTATTTAGATCTGCTGCACACTTTGCTGGATTCATGAATGGCAGAAAAAGTTGAAACTTTTTGTTTGGACTTTCTTATTCTGTAATGTCTTTTACTAATACAAAAGGTGTTTTTATTAAAGTTCCCATTTTACTATTTAGAATACATTATATTTTAACAACAGAATAATATTTAAGGTGTTCTACTTAATCTTTTCATAAAAATACTGACAAAATTAAGCGACACAAATTGAAACAATTTTACATCACTGGAGAGACATTGAAATTGTTTGAAACTAGAATATTTTTGCACTTTTATCCTGAAAACCTACCAGAAATTCATTTTTTCTTTTAATGTAAAGCAAGCATTTGTGCTGCAAGTTTTGGAATTTCCTGTGAAAATTAAAATTTAAAAATGCCCTTCCACTAGCTCTACATATAGTAAAGAACAAGCAAAAGCATCGAGGTCTCCTCTCCTACAACTTTCATTATTTTTGCAGAGTGTTAGCCTGTGATCTATTTATCTGTTTTACAATCTGCAGTCCTCCATTTTTCTATCACTGTTCTTCATTTTAGTAAGAAAAGTTGTTGAGTTTATTACGAAACTCTACAGCATATTTACAAGTTCATTTATTTTACCTAATTCATTGGAAATTACGGCACCGTATCAGTAATACATGAACAGTTTACTAATAAGTTATCAGAGATGTTAAAGAAGGTTTTAATTGTGTTTCTCAACAACAAATGGAAAAGCTCAGAGGAACATCAAAATAATAGAAATGAGCATAAATAAATAAATTATTTTAGGAAAAAAAACAACAGCAAAACATATTTACAGAAGAAAACAGCCTTGAAAGTAGTGGTAACAGAAGGGGTACTAAGGTAGCAGTGAACAGGAAATTAAACATATGACAGCAAAAAAAAATACAATCACAGAAAAAAATGCTGTCAAGCAGGACAATGATAAGCTGTCTTTACAGATATGTTGTCTAAGAATATCTAAAACCCTCTGTCAGGGTATGGGACTGCAGGATTCAGGCAGAGGTAGGAGGAGCACTGAAGGAAACTTCTGAAAAAAATCGGAGTCAGTCTAACTGGCAAACCTGGCAAGTATTTTCTAAGGAAGTCATCATTATACGTTGGATCTGTTTAGGCAAAGTAAAACAGTCCTTCTAATTCCTCTAAGAACTAGGCTACAGCAATTTTCTCCTGTAAAAATTAATTAAGATCACAAAACGCCTTCCTCAGCCTTAGACACATGCCTTGCACACTCATCAGGGGAAGGAGAGAGATCAGTGAGGAAACACAGACAAACTCCTGTTACCTGTTTCTTCCAGAATCTCTGAAACCTTTAGCAAAGGGGTTTCTGTCAATTTTTAATCTGGTGATCTACAAAGGAAGAAAAAGAGAATTAGTTGATCTCTCCAAATCTTTTTCCTTTCAACAAATGAAAATTACTGATGATTACCACTCTTGCCCAAACTACCTGTACAATGATCTTTCATACTTATTTCCCCAGACTTATATTAAAGTTGCCCTTCCGCTATCCATGAGCGGATTATCTGCTTAGCAAATGAACGGCGCCAGAGGCAGAAACCTGGCAGCATCAGGAATCCTGGCACAGCTGGGACTGAGAAGCTGTTCCCGAAGGAGAAGCACACCCTGGACCCAGGTGTAAACCCCAGGAGCTATAACTCATCGATGGCCGTGTGGTTAGGGAAGCATAATAATATTGAGATTCTGACCTTGCAGCCCATGATATCACACTCCCTGTCAGCTACTCCCCGACCTGGTGCAGCACGAGAGCTTCCCTCTGCCAGCCTCACCTTGTCCTGGATACCCTGTCTCTGGAGTGAAAAGAGAGCGAGAGCCCCAGATCCTATCAAATTTGAGGTGTTTTTGCTGAAACTGCTCAAAAGGGACTAGTTTAATACAGACTGATCTGAAGCGGATTTGCAGGTGTTTTGCTTCTGTCAGAACCAAGCCCTTACTCTGGATATTAACCTCAGATCTGGAATGCAGCTCCTATTTTTGCAGAAGCTTAATTTGTGAACTTAATTTCCGCTAGCCTGACTTTGCAGCTGTCCTGGGACTTGTGTGTACAGAGACAGATATGTTCTGCGGAGGATGGAATTACAGCAGAGGGAATCCCTGTGGTGGATTTGCTAACATTTTACAATTGTTTCCAGAGACGCTTCTCCCAGTAAGGCAAAGTTTTACAGCCACTGGAGGGCAGGCAGGCAGATTCAGGGCATTTAAATTTATTTTTAATGAAAAGGTTTCTCCAACCCACCAGAATTTCCTTTACTGGCATCATAAAAATGCCCCCCCTCCCCCCTCCAAAAAAATGGTGGGGGAAAACCCAAAAAAATTTGGAATTCAGTGAGACAGGAAGATATTTCAGTGCTTCTTTACATTGAGGTGGCTTACAGACCCAGTGCCTGACAGAGATCCCTCCCTTAGCACTTCTCTTACCTTATGTCTAATTCTATAATTAATTTAATGTTGAAATAATTATGTCTTATAGGTCTAGTCATTAGGGAAGAATGACAGGCTTATTTCCTGTCATTTCTTCTCCTTTCTCTATTCTCTTCCCATGCCTGGTCTACAGTTAAAAGTTTGTGGAGTACATGGTTTGGGCAAGTGGGGCAGGAAATTTCCAGTGCTGCAAGGACAGCAAACTCAGCATTGTGTTGCAATATTTTTTTTCTGGTGGAATAGTTGATGCATTTTGGATCCTGATTTAAGTCAATTCAAGGGGACCAGACTGAGAAAAAGTTAGGAGTGGGTATCCAAAAGCAATCATGGGAGCACTGTCAGCACGTGTGCCCTCTCTTTTATGTTGCAAAATAAAAACTCTGTAACAATTCACAATTTTTACAGATTGGCTAAATATTACAATTTGCCCTAAGCTGTTTTGACATGGGTCTGTCCCTCAGTCCAAGAATACTAAATATAATGATATCCACTGAGTTCATGAAGTCATTTTCCAGAAGCACAGATGTTGCATATGTACGCAAACAAGAGAAGAGGAGCACACTGAGCCCAAAGCGTGACAGAGGTTGCATGAAGGCTAATGGGAATCCCTGAGAATTCTGGTAGATGAGCGATACATAAGGAGACTACAAAGGTGGATATAAGGAGCTCTCAACGTGTGCAATGAACATGCCTGCAGAAGCGAAGCAGCAGGTCACATTCTTCTCAAAGACTAGGACACCAGCTTTCACTGGCCACTGAAGGAGAAGGGGGAGCAAGATGTTTGGCATCCACAGCAAGCCCTTTCCAAAACTCCTTTCTTTGCTGGTGTCTAAAGTGCTTACGTTCTCAAATGCTCGCATTTTCCTAGCAATTAATTTGCTCTAAAAGACACCATATCTTTGGGGAAAATAGGGATAGACAGGGAATTCTGTAATCAAACAGTAGTGTAGACTGAAATTACATTTCTTGGTGCCATGAAGTCTTGTTTGAGAAAAAAGGCAGATCAGTAACAAAGCTCAGTAGTCAAGGCCTCTGCAGATAGGATCCCACTGTGGCAACATCTTTTCCTTATGATATCTGGAGTCAATAGTAACACTCTCCACTGGGAACCGTGCAAGATCTGAATCAAATGTGAATTATGCATGAGAATTTTAGTTCATATGCAATACATGGACTACTGTTGCTTATGTTCAAAGGCTTCTTTTGTCAGCAAACTGATAAGATTCCCCTTCTCTAAAACTTTTCCTTCATTTTAGCAGTGAAAAAACCCCTTTGTGTTTACTCTGCGAGATAACAGATCTGGACTAGTTGCACTGCCTTAAATTAGAGCGGGGACAGGACACTGTCGTTTGTACCACAAGGCAGCAAGGAAAAGCTAACACAATACATCTCTTTACAATTGATCTCACCTACTTACTTTACAGTAAAAAATGCAGGCACCTTATTTGCAAGATAGTTTTCTGCCTAGATACATCATGTCTACCCACTACCCCATAGCAAGCATTTACTTTTTGTGCAGGAAAAAAAAGCAGTGAGCTTGTAAAGTGTACACTCTTCTTGAGCTATGTTTCTTAGAGAAGTTAATGTCTCAAACACAAAAAGCACACTGATATTTTTATGAACACCCAACATAAAAGGAGCCTGAAGGCACACAGCCTTACCTGTTGATTTTGGTAGGCTGTCACTGTGGTGAAGACTGTCTCAGGGAAGTTGAAGGTTTTCACCCCATCTCCTGAAGGGACTGGTTTTGTAGGAGAAAGATCACTGCTGAAATCCTTGCGGATAACATGAACACGGGGCTGGTACTTATGCATTGAATGCAAGATTATCTGAAGAGAGAACAGAAGGAGAAGGGAAAGATTTTTTTTTTTCCAAATATTCTACACTACATCCAGATGTACAAGGAAGCAGGGATAGAGTAAGAGCTAACATGAAGAAAACCACTCTTTTCTTACACAAGCATGCATGAGATGAAGTTTGTGCTATGTACAGGGAGAAGGGGGATCTATTGCTTTATAGGATCATGCAACATTTTGAAGAAAAGCACTGAAGTAGGGAAAAGCAGCTCCGTAACTCTGGAGAGTGACTGCAGGCAGGCATGCCCAGCACAACACAGGAGCATCAGAGCAGCAGCATCACCCTTACGAGTCTGAGACAGTAGGCACCAGGACTAGCTCCTAACTTACATGGCCTTGATCATCAAGCTCGTTGTTGGTCAGCTTGAGCTTGTCAAAACTGACCACCTGCCTCATCCAGGTGTCTCCAGAAGCCAGCGAGTCAGGGTGGATGTAAACCCTCGGGGGCACTGGGGAGTCAGCATTGCCAGCCACCATCCACTTGGAGCTGTGATACACATACCTGAAAGAGGAAGGGGAGGTGGATAAGGGAAATTGTCACTCACTCACTGGAGGAACATTTCCAGGGCTCCCCCTTGCCTGCCACCCTACCGCATACATCCCAAGCTCTCATTTGCAGTCAGGGGAGAATGTGCTTTATTGCAACCTCCTACCTTCTAAATGAAAGCCAGATTACCCCTGAGCCACTTGTTCAGACTTGATTCCTTATTAAAACCACCTTTGCAGTTATTTTCCCTGTAAAACTCCGCCACATGTGCCTTCTCAACTCCTTAACCCTCTCTGAACCAGAATAAGAGGCTAGAAAATACAGGTAAACAAAGCCTTCTCTGAAAATACTAATAAATGCCCTGTAATTTCTGGAAATCTGCATTGGCTGCTATGCCAGATGGTGCAAAACACACGTGTCTTCATCCAGAAAGGGCAAAATCCAATAGATACCACTAGAAGAATTGATAAAACAGAATTCTGGTTTGAAATGTTGCAAAATAGGAAATTCCATATAGTATTGCAAATGTTGATATTAGAGGAAAAAATATTTTTTGTGCCTGATCAAGCCATCCTATATATGCTATAAATTTCTCTATCACAGTTTTGTCTAGACACTTTTTTTTTCTTTCTGTCCTGTGGCTCTTTCAGTCTAAGGCATTTCACCAACCGTCCTGCTAACACCTCTGAGTTCTGCCCTATGCTGCCCTTCATTGAGTCTCTACTCAGCTCTGCCAAGCTATTGCATTTCTCACCTACAAACAATGACTCATTTCATGTATTTTCAAAAGAAATGCAAAAAAAAAAAAAAAAAAATCCATTCCTTTCACTGCTAGTTTGCTCTATGTGGCTGCACAAGCTAACAAGGACAGAAACAAAGTGTAAGACAATATATTTATTTTTTACATTACTGCTGTCAGAACCACTCAAAGAAAGGGGCAAAACATCTAGCTGAGTATCAGAAAGTACCTTGATGCTTCCCAGGAAAAGCATTTTCCTGAGAAACACACTGCACAATCTGAGAGCAAAAATGTAATATTTATCATTTGAAGCAGAGGATCAATTCTTGAATCCTTGAAATGTGGTGCTATCAACACTATTTGGGGAAGACTTGCTCTCAGAGGTCTTTTAATAAATATAGATAAATCACCTCTGTCTGGATAGTTTTCTGGGATGCAGAGGACCATGAGTTTTCCAGAGTACTTTTTAGGATTGGGAGCCCATTAATACCAGAGAAATCCCCTCTTCCTGTCTTTCAGCTCAGTGGTGGAGATACACCAGAGGCTTTCTCAGTGTCTCCTTACTGTAGGTCAGGGCCCATATTCCCTGTGGCTGCTGGGCTGGACAGTGAACGCTTTTAGAACAAAAATCACCCAATTCAGTTCAGGCCAGACCCGAGCTGCCGCTTGCCCATTCCTTTCTTGCTGAAGTAGTTTTAGAGGCTGCAGACTCCCCACTGATAACTCCAGTTACCAATTCCCTCAGACAGTCATTGCTAATTATGTCGGTTGTGAAATATATGCTGCGGATCTCCCTGATTAAAAACTGCTATTCGAAAAGAGCAAGATTTCAATTCAAAAGTGCAAAAGGGTAGATTAAACCTCTGGGTTTTTGTCTCACAACTGTGGTCAAATCAACTATGTTGGTGTAAATCAACATGGTCTCCTCCAGCATACCTTTGCAATGCTGTATAATGGTATGTGTCTTTCCTAGGCTTTCCCTGACACTAATTTATCACAGTGTTCCTACCCCTGCACCTAAAAAGCTTACCTGTATCTCTTGTTATCCACAGGCACAATGTCCATGGCAATATAATACTGCTGGTGGGGATCCAAGCCTGTAATTTTCACTCTCATGGCTGGAAACATTCTCCTAGGAAAAGAAGAGTAGAAATAAGGAGGAAAATGGTGAATAAGGAAGCTGAAGGGGCTCCTTAGACCCCTCTCCAACATCCAGGAGCACACTACTTTACACAGCCCGGTTCTTGGTATGATTCCTTTGAGCTTGGTGTCAGTAGCAAAGACTGTGGTTTAAATCTTGAATTTTTTTCCACTTAAGAAAAGGGGTAGCAGGATAACCTGCTCCCGGTGGGTAACAATAACACACTCCCAGTCAAGCACTCTGCCTGTTCCCAGCTCCTAGCAAATAGTTCTGTTATGTTCCACACAAATTTTCCTCTCTAGGCATTTCAGTACTCAGATGGTAGCATACCTTCTTCTTGCTGTTTTTCCCATTGGCTGTCCATCTGGAATTATTCTCTCATATCACATTAAATGCAGGATCACTTTAGTTCTTTTTTTTGATAAAATCACATTTCAGTTTGGAGTTTGATAGTACTGGAGTAATATTTAAAGCAAATTCATTGTCCTGAAAGATCCTTTTGACCTTATGTTTATAGTTATTTAAGAAAGAATGTCCCTCAAATTAATCTGCTTATTAGGCATATATTTCACATTTAACAGAAATGCTGGCATTATCATCATGGTTTCCTTGAAGTCTAGATAGTATTTTGTGCAATCTTTTCAGTAAGTGTTGACTTTTCTATAACATATGATCCAGAACTGTCTTAAGCATTTTCTCCTCATAGGCAAGTTATGAAACTTTACACCAGCAAGAATCAATTCCCACCCTCTCTTTTCTTGTCTGAGCACAAGCTTAGCTCTGCTGTGCATTAGTCACTGTTCTGGGGGTGTTTGTAGCTAGACAATTATTTCAGAAGAGAACAGCTCAGAACAATTTTAACTTCAAAACATGTCACTGTTAGTGTGGCTACGACATAATTTCTCCTTCTTAAAAAATTTCTGGTTGCCAGCAGTCCAATTGCCGTTCTACACATCCCTCAAACAGCGTGCTGAGTGAATTGTTTATGCCATATTATATTTGCAACTAATGCAGTATTTTAATGTCTTCCTAAAATCTGAGGAGCAGAACTGGGTGAAGTGCAAAGGAAAATGTGCAGCAGAGCAGAGCACGAAAAGAAATACCATGTTGTTTCACTGACTGTTAACTCAAGCCTGAGCTCTACTTGAGTGGCTTCTCAGACCTTATCTAGGAAAACCTTGAACTGAGGCCCTACGGGATGGTATTACTCAGTTGCATGGCTTCTGCCCAGAAGATACGGAGTTTTGGTAGGAGAAACTCTGAAAGTACTGGATGCTCAGAAATTACATTCTGCTCCTGTGATAAGTAGATATAGCCTTATGGAATGAGGGTGGTTTGGATGGAAGGAGGATATTGAAGGGGAATTTAAAATCCAAATGCCACAATTGTGGAAAAGTGTACAAGAAATGTTTGTCCACTGTTTCTAGGGGCCATCCCCTAGAAACCATTGTGACACTTTCTAACTAGTGAGGACTAGTGAAATGTCAGGGAAGAAGATGTAAATCTCCTCCCAAAATTTCTGTTTCTCAAAGTGTTACCAGTGGACACAGTCTAGAGGAGGAAGAAAACAGGAAAGTTTATGTCAGCATCTCCAAACATGTCTCTAATCATTTGCACTGAAGGGATGTGGCCATGAGAAACGATTTTATTCTTTCCTATCCCAGCCTCATATACCCACTTGCAGAAGGTGTGAAGGAGGAGGTTGGTGCTCAGCCTTCGCCCTACCCACAGCTCTTCCATCTAAGGCCACAGAGAAGGAAAATTCTGACCTGTTAGTAACTGCATCTGCCTTGAAAAAGGGCATTTATTGTGGGGGGGCAGGGAGAGCACCACCCCACAGCTGCCAGAGCACAGCTAACCAGAGTTATGAGAGACATAAAACTGTCAGAAAAATTGTCTGCATTAATCCTTCAAGGAGAGAGCAGATTTGTGCAACGGATGGTGCGAGTTTGCTGGTTGAACAATTTGGGGGGGAGAGGAATAATGCATTAATCTGTGGTGGCTTGAGGGCAATACCTTGTTTCCACCACAATGGCTCATTAAATCTGCCAAGCCAAATGGGTACAGGATGTGGCATTTTACAATCCAGCTCTCCTTAATTGGAGAGAGGTGGCTTGGGAGCAGCTTAAGAGGTAGGTCATGTTTCAGAGGGTTGATGAGAAACCCAGGATTAGATCTGAGTCTCTTTGGGTCTAAGTCTGTGCACTGTATTGGGAAAACTGAATGCTGTGTGTTCCAAGAAGCTCTCTCCAAATCTGTAGCCCCGTGTAAAGTTGCAGTGTAGCCTATGGGGTTGTTTGCTTATGAAATACCATGTAAAAGATTACCACAGACCATTGAACAGGCTTAGAGGCTAATCTCTAAAATGGTTGGAGAAAGCTCGGCTGATCCCAATGCTTTCTCTAAGGTTTAAGTGTACTTTTAAAGTTTTGTAAATTATTACTGGTTTTCTTTTTCTGTGGGTGTAAAAGTAACTCAGGTTTCTTTGCCATAAGGATGTGGCCTGGAACTGTCACAGCAGGTCTCCAGCAGCACTGCTGCGTGGAAAGGGGAAAATGCAAAAGGCAGAGGCAAACAGTAGCATCTTAGGGAGGTGCTGGGGTGTAATCCTGGTTAAGTCCCTGTGCTTCCATGTTCCTCTTGGTGGGCTCTTGCCCCCCTGGAGGCACCAACTCTATAGAAAACTGGAGGTTCAAAGGTTTGGAAGGAACTCAGGCCGTTTGAATATGGCTGTATTAATATACAGTCAAGAGGCTTTCGTCTAGAAAGATACCAGCTAGCTTTATAGTCGGCAGCTACAGACACGAAGGCTGTCTGTTTTCATAGGGAGCACGTGATGACATCTGATATAGTTTAGGAGGAGGTTTTATATCAACAACAGTTTGGGATGATCAAGTTATTTATATGTTA